TTTAAGTTTAGGTCATAGCATCTAAATACTCACAGTCACTGTGTATTAATACTTTCTTTAAGTTTAGGTCAGAGCATCTAAATACTCACAGTCACTGTGTATTAATACTGTCTTTAAGTTTCATGCAGATGCATCGACTGTTTGAATCTTGTCAGCGACGATAATCTTCACACATGAGTAATAAAATATGTTATTTAACATTTGATGCCTTCAGTATAAAATCTACAGTACATCCATGACTGGAAACCAATCAACCAACCAATCAATCGATCAATTAATGAACTAATCGATCAATTAATGAACTAATCGATCAGACTTTATGTTGTTGCACTTTTCACAGAAAACATGAAACTCAAAGTTCTTTTCCAGAATAGATTTCAATGAGGAAGTTAAACAAAGATAAAGATAAAATAATGAAATACTAAAAGAGGTGAAGAGAAGGTGCATCTGTGTTACCAGGTTCGATTCCGACCCGCATGTCCTCCCCATTTCTCACCTGCACAGCTTTCTCAATAAAGAAACAAATATCTTGAAGAGATGAAGAGATGAAGTGTTCTGGGGAACATGACTGTTCCGTCCTGATAAAACAAACTGGACCAACTCTCCCACAGATTCCACACACATTCATTTATTCCAGATTTAAGAAGCAGCAGGTAAATTTAATAACAGGGTCAATGTGCAGTCTTTGTGTTTTACAGCCCAACAGCCTGATATTAATCAAACTGACTCACTGTGATCCTCTGTGAGTCAGACGAGATGCACAGTTTTCACACGTGAGCGACCTCCGCTCGATTTTCAACAGAGAGAAAACACACGAGCCTGCAGGTCATCAGGAGGAAGAGAAACAGAGGAACTACACTCCTCTTCCTCTCCTCTTTCTCTCTCCTTCCTCTCCTCTTCCTCTCCTCTCCTCTTCAGGGCAGAAGACAAAGATAAAGATAAAATCGTAGCGTCTGTTGAGTAAATATGTGTCAAATCATATTTATATAAAATAAAAACAGCTTCTCTGAGTATCTGCGTTTATGTGGAAATTGTGTATTTTTCTATTTTCTGTGTAACTTCATGTACAAAACAACAAGAACACAGATCAGATACACGAACAAAGTAAAAGACCTTTAATCTGAAGGTCCAGGGTTTAAGTCCCTGCTAAGTCCAGGCGACTGTATTCTGCACATAATGACTGTTTGGCTAAATCCAGTAATTCTGATGTCACTTGAATAATTCTACGACACATGTGCTCCCTTAAATTCAGTCAAGCTGCACTGAGCTGCACGTGCACAGTCCTCTGAATGTGCATGAGTCATTTGAAGTGTTCAAGAAAGTGAAAGTGTTGAATCTTCTCCGAGGATCAAAGACTTCTCTCATAACTCGCAGCTCAGTCGGCCAAGCGGAGGGTCAGAGGTTCAAGTCTGTGTTCAGGTGACGGATTCTTCCTGTATATTCCTGCAGAATACACAGAGTGACGCTGGTGCTGTCCTCGTGTTTAATGCCCACATCAGTCCTGTACAGTAGCCGTGGGTTTGATTCTGGACATTGTTACTCCCCGTTCTTCCCCCTTTCACACTTCATCTGTCTTCAAGTTATGTGAAGAATGAAGTCAGAGCAAACATGACGGAGAAGAGATAGTGATGTGGTGAATAGAAACCGCTTCAGTTGTTTTCGATTGTAACGTGTGTGAACTCATCTCAGGACGCACATCAATCCTGTTTAACTGGTACAGTCACACACGCACTGTCAACACACAGGGATGTTCACAACACATCTTACAGGGGTATCTGGAATTACACAATATCACACTGCTTCTCCTGTTGTCATTTTACTGACTCGACAGAGTGAGATTGCACAGTGGGTGTGGCTGTTTTCACTGTTTGTTGTGTTATTGTTCTCACTTATTACCGACGTCACTCTCACACTCTGAACACCTCAGAAGATCTGAGTTCATAAACAGCATCTGGATTAGATCTCATCCAGACTGACTGGATGTGTGCAGGTCTGTAATTTCACAACTAGGACTCTGAGTTGAGTTTTTAATACGACCTACGCATTTTATAATAAACTTCCTTACTCATCAAAAGTAAAAGTACAGACAAACTAACTTCAAGTTGTTTCAAGTCTGATCTCTACTCTGATTATGAGAAATATGATATACAGACTAAATCCAGATAATCTAGATGATCTGCTAAAGAATTTTGATCAATAATTATTAGCATTATGTTGTCAGACATGTTAAATCCTGTTTTAATTTCTACCTCCACCACCTCTCTCTCATTTCTTCTCTATCTCCTTCCTCCTCCTTTTATTTTTTAAACCAATCACCACACTCGCTGCTGATTCCAGGAGCTGTGTTCGTCTCCTCAGTTCATCGTGAAAGGAGCGACACACCTGGACATCCGTCAGGGAAAACTCAGTGAGTACACAACCACTGCAGTGTTACACAAAACTGTACTTTATCACATGATGAGTCAGTCGAACACGTGGAACAGCTGATTGACTGTAAAGTCAAATAGAAACCGTGATAATCTGTTTGATACTCTGACCTCCTTAGACGACTGTTGGTTTCTTTCTGCCATCGCGTCCCTGGCTGTGCACCGATCTCTGCTCGTCAAGGTCGTTCCTCTAGAACAGAGTTTCCAGAATGGGTACAACGGAAGCTTCACCTTCAGGGTAAATACAGTAAATACAGTAAATAACGCTGCATCAAACGAAGCAGGACTTGTGTGGCTGAGTTGGTGAAAGCACGTCCTTGTCGTCTCCCTCTGCAGTTCTGGCAGTACGGTCAGTGGGAGGAGGTGAAAATAGACGACTTGTTGCCGACTCAGAACAACAACCTGATCTACCTCAGCTCCCCCGACAGACACGAGTTCTGGAGCTCGCTGCTGGAGAAGGCCTATGCCAAGTGAGAGAGAGTGTGTGTGTGTGTGTGTGTTCAGGCATTGTTTCACGTTCAAAAATCACAATGTTAAAGAAAGTGGTCCTGGTTAAAGTGATGTTAAGGTTTTGGTTAAACTAAATGTAGACAATGAAGATCAATAATGTTTTTTTTAAATCTCAAATGTGAGATTCTGTTTAACTGAGCATCTGGTCACCTTTAGTGTTTTCTCAGGAGCCTTTGTGATCTCAGTAGAACCTTCTTCAGTCCCCCCCCCCCCGACTGAACCCTGTGTGTGTTTGCTCTCTCAGGTTGAAGGGCGGCTACAGAGCTCTGGACATGGGCTTGCCTCACGAGGCAATGGTGGACATGACGGGCGGCGTGTCGGAGGTGTTGAACATCTCCTCGCTGCCCAGAAACCTCCCGGCCTTCCTCAAACACCTTCTGTCTAAAGGAGCGCTCATCAACTGCGCCAACTGTCTGGTACTGTGATAAAGCTCTCTCTCCTTTATGTCCCTGGAACATGTTCCCAGGGAGATTCTCTGTAATTGGATGAGTCGTGTTGACTGTGGGTGGACGTTTGTTTTTTTCTACCCAGGGTGATCTGGAAACAAAAAATGAACTGGGGATCATGTACAGACATGCCTACTCTCTGACAGCAGTAGAAAAGGTAACTGGCCCTAAGCAGGGTGACCTAGATTCTGATTTAATCCATCTCACAGAATCTCAACAAAATGTTCCTGTTGAGATCTTAAAAATAATCCTGGGTGCAGCTTTGAGCGACTGATCCACCTTCTGAGTTTGATGAATAAATGTGAAGCTGCATAAACAGACGCACACGTGAAGTTTACCTGCAGGATCTGTGCACCTCCCTTTAAGAAATGCGGATCCTTCGTGACCTTTTCTTCCTGCTGCCCTCACGTGTTAGTTTCTCTCCGTCTCTGCCAGGTGGAGACGACATATGGCCCCGTGGATTTGGTGCGAATCCTCAACCCCTGGGGCAACACGGAGTGGCTGGGTCCCTGGAGTGATGTGAACGGGTTGGTACACACCTGCATGAGCCAGATTAACCCTGATTCATTTTACAACTTTACTCTGTTATGACAATAAAAAAGAAAACCTCATATCGAAAAACAGAATTTCCCCTAAACTACCTGAACTGTGTGTTTGTTCTTGCAGGCGGCAAATGTCCCTGCTGTTTACTCTTTTTGCACAAAAATAAAAAGTCACTCTCTGTGTCTGTCTCTGTGTCTGTCTCTGTCTCTGTGTCTGTGTCTGTCTCTGTGTCTGTGTCTGTCTCTGTCTCTGTGTCTGTGTCTGTCTCTGTGTCTGTGTCTGTCTCTGTCTCTGTGTCTGTCTCTTCCAGTCCGGAGTGGAGTACAGTGAGCCCCGAGGAGCAGAAACGATTGCACAGAGTCAGACGGGAGGACGGTGAGTTCTGGTGAGTCTGAGGCGTCTCTCTGTGACGCACGTCAGCTCCCCGTGAGCTCGTCTAACCCTCACATCACTTCTCTTCTCATGCACACTTGGTTTTGATCTTATCATGTGTCAGAGGAAGATGAAAAGAGAGAGGAGGAGAGCGTCGTGTTACAAAGCTACGTAAACACAGCTGCTGCCAAACTGACTCTGTTCAAAGACATTAAAGCAGAATAGATACACGTGATGATCTTCTGTCACTCAGGATGTCGGCGTCGGACTTCGTAAAGCAGTTTGAGACCATGGAGGTGTGTCACCTGACCGGCACCCTCAGTGAGCAGGGCTCCGGCGTAACGCCTTGGTGCTACATCATGCTTCATGGGAACTGGGTGCCGAGCATCTCAGCAGGAGGATCTCCCCAAGGAGGTAGCGATGACTTATAGTCACTGACGTGTCATTTGGCCCGGGGGGGGGGGGGGGGGGGGGGGAGTAACATTCCACTTAAAGGAGAATTCCAGTAACACAAAACACTTGGAATCAGTCCAGCAGCTCGTCTCTTTTAGCAGCTGAGACACGACAATATAATCTTATGGGGCGACTTGAATTGTTATTCTGGGTCTTTTGCTATCATTACACATTGTGTCGCTCGCTGTGTGTGTGTGTGTGTGTGTGTGTNTGTGTGTGTGTGTGTGTGTGTGTGTGTGTGTGTGTGTGTGTGTGTGTGTGTGTGTGTGTGTGTGTGTCTGCAGGCTTGTTCTGGCAGAACCCTCAGTTCAACTTCGTCCTGCCAGAGGACAGCGGCAACTCTCAGAAGACCTGCTCCTTTATTTTAGCTCTGATGCAGAAACACTGCAGACGTAGAGGCATCGACTTGTCCATCGCCCTGCATGTATTCCCGGTACACACACACAACTGTACTTGATCTGTGTGGGTTTTTTTAACGTTAGAGGGAATGATTGTCTGTCTGCACATATTAGCCTTGAGGATTAAGGGTGTGCCCACTCATTGCATGCTGGGATTGGTGCCAGCGTGCCGTTCAGCATTACACAAAAACTTCAGGATTCTTTTTCACCTTCTTTGACGATGCAACATTGGAAATTTTTCTGACTTTTTCAAATTTCAAATTCACTACGAGTGTGTGAAATGTGGGATTGTTCGGCCTTGGCACATGTAAGTTTAACTTCAGTGTGTTCAAGCATTAGAAAGTGTTTGAATCTCTCATTTGATGATTTCACAAAACATACGATTAATGCAACACAATTGAAAATTGTCGGACAGGAAGTACCATAAGTTGTACTTTACTATGGAGAACTACATATCCATGTGTAATAAATCTTTGCTGTCTCACCAGGTCCACCACACAAAAACATACTTGTCTCCTGAGGACCTCAAGGCCATCCGCCCCGTCCTCTGCAGCCCCCATTACTCCTCACGTCGGGAGGTGGTTCTTCGTGGTTCTCTTCCACCTGGTTCCTACATCATCATCCCCTCCACCACAGAGCCCAATCAGCAGGGGGCGTTCCTCCTGCGGATACTGACGGAGCATGGGAACAAGGCCGCGTGAGTCATCTGTGGATGGAAGAATGAAAAAACATCAGTACAACTTAGAATCTTGTCCGTACCTGTGAACATAATTATGATGATTCTGATATTTTCTTTTTTCAGTCCAGCAAACCAACCACCACAAGACATCATTTCACAAACTGAGGTAAGAGATGTGTTGAATTGGTAAAATTATTCACAGTGAGGTAGATGTTTGAAATGAAAGTCAGAGGAGCGATCAGAACCTGGAGCAAATCAAACGTCTCTCACCTGAACAGTTACCTTAAAAGAGAGAGACACAGAGAGAGACAGACAGAGAGAGGCAGAGACAGACAGAGAGAGACAGAGACAGACAGAGAGACACAGAGAGAGACAGAGACTATGGGAGGGAACAAACATAAAGGTGATGACATGTAGTAAAGTAAATACATGTGAGGACATTAAACCCACTTCTTATAAGGAAGTAAAACCCCAGTAGGAGGAATATCACCGACCATGACAGTGAACAAACAGACAGTCAGACACTGTTGAAGCCTCGATATGTCGAATTATTTTTTCTTTGGGATGAAAACATCTGCTTTCAGAGCCTGGATAGCTCAGTCGGTAGAGCATCAGACTTTTAATCTGAGGGTCCAGGGTTCAAGTCCCTGTTCAGGTGTAGAAGTTTTTAAATACATGTAGTGGATCAGTACTGGGCCTTTTACTATGAAGCCACATCAACATGATGTCTTTACCTTATCAGGTCTGACTTAACCCAGCAGATGCAGTCAGGTGTCAGGTGTTGACACAACGCTCGTTAAGTCAATCCAACGTGTCCTCATCTTGACATGAGTGTTTACTGACATGAACAAGTCTGACTGCAGCAGAGAACATATTTCACATACGAGGAGTAAACTGTTACGTCAGGAAAATATCTGGAGTCCAGAGAATTGTGTCTGGACTTTGCTTTTCACACATTTATTAACACACAATGCAGCGGGAGGTTCTCTGCACAGACGCTTTCACAATAGCAACTTCTTCAACCGACTCAGATGCCCAGTTTGAATTGTTTCATTTGAAGTGATGAAGTTAAACTAAGTGAATATTACAGTACTGACTGAAGAGGCTTGGTATCGTGTCAACACAGTGTGTGTTTGAGACACAGCTTCCATGTCTTCATCTGATTCGCTGCCTCGGTTTCAGCCTCTAACCCTGCAGATTAGTTTGATGTCGGTGTGAGTGTGAATGGTCGTCTGTCTGCACATATTATCTCTGTGATAGACTGCTGAGCGGATTAAAGGCGTTGCCCACTTCCCACCCATTGCATGCTGGGATAGGTGCCAGCGTGCACTGGGTTGAGATAAGTGGGTGGATAACCTGCCAACTGAATTAAAAACGCCTGTTGCCATAAATCAGCTCCACCAACGCTCCATAGCTGAACACGGTTAAACCCTGACACTCGACAATTGTTAGTAAAAGAAATGTGTCTCTGTATTTTCTGTCTGCAGCCGTCACATCCTCACCAGGCTGCACTCCCTTCTCCTAAATCCACCAGACGTCTGTTTCTGAAACACTGCAACAAGGTGAGATTTACCTGCACCTCAGAGACTCAGACTAAAATATATGGATTCATATATAATCTACATAGAGACATGATGACATATCATAGATATGTGAAGAGGAGTGACTCTGTGAGGCTTGATCTGTGAATGTTTCATGTCTTGTGATCATCAGAAGGGGATTTGCAAACCAGTGCATCTCTACAGCCTCCTGACTGAGGCCATACAGGGAGGAGGTCAGTGACATCTGATTCAGAATCAGTTTGCGTGTCTTTGTTTTCACTGCATGTGATGAATTGGTGTAGTTAATGTGTCCCAAATATCCTTGGATACGACATGCGATTTTCGACTGAACTTCAGCAGAGAGCAAACAATAGGTTAGGAGCCTCCCGTGGAGTTTCAGATCAGAGCTGCAGGACAACGCTGCCGAAAAAACATGTCAGTCTCAAGCTCGCAAATGTTTAAGTTGTGGGTTTTGTCGACAGAACCAGTTCTCAGATCAGCATTTAGAAGGTTTCAAACCTGGAAAACCGGCTGATGCACTGAGAGAACAGTGACAAATTTGAATCTCTGAAAAGGTGTTAAAAACTTATGGTAATGTTTGCAGATACTTTATTTTCTCAGCCTCATCAAAACGACGCTTCAAAACTTAGCGGCAGCTTATTTCCAGCTTTAAAACACAGCTGCAGCCTTTCAAACACTTTTTTAATATATTTGAAATATGACCTGATGTTTATCCCAGAGCCTCCTGGAGACCCACCTTCACTGAAATGAACATTAACATTATTATCATTGACATGAGAATATATAACAAACATGTCAAAGTTTACAGTTCTCATTAAACATCATGATTTAACGTCCTGCATCCAAAATAATTCTCTCTGCTGTTCTGACTTGTCTTCAGTGTTGGCCGGCAGTGAGAAGAATCTGGCTCTGGAGCACTGCAAGAGTCTGGTGGTCCTCACGGATGTATCCTTGTTTCTTATATCTCAACAAACTCCCACCAATAAAAAGGACGTTTCTGTTCTGAGCACCAGGAAAATGGAATGAATTTAAATTGTAAACATGTCCAGATAGTCTGTTATTATCAATGAGGAGTCTCAGCTCGTGTCTGTGAAGACTCACATGTTCAGAGGTTCTTGTTTTTTGTATTTAACGTCTGTACCTGAGAGTCGTTATGCTAAACAGTTGTCGGTCGTTGTGTTCCTCTGAGTCAAGGTGAATGTTGCTACTTGAAATTCTAGTCTCACCTCTCTCTGGATTCCTGGATCACAATTCCTTAATTGACAGAACTGTACAGCCGACTCTGTTGAAGACTGTTCTGGTTAATGTCTGGTTCATTTTCTTGACCTCAGTATTTGATCCAGACTCAGGGCACCGCTCGGCTGAACTGGCTTGAGTTCCAGGGTCTGTGGGACATGATCAAGAGGTGGACGGTAGGGTCATCAGCATTCAGCAACTGTGACGTCAACGAGAAAACATATCAATCCACCTTAACCATCATCGCTTAATGACCTAAATACTATGGGCAATGACACAGAGGGTTGTTTAGAAGAAGAGGACTTGTCTCCTCAAGATTTCCCTGAAGTGGGCACCAGTATGGTGGAGCACCACAGTGGTCCGGAGCCGTATCCATCCGAGTTAGCTCTCGTAGCCGAGGCAGCGCTAGTGCAAGAGAGGTAATGCAACGTTAGTTTAAGGGCTAACGTTCAAGCTCTTACATTAAATGTCCAACACACTGTCATCCCCACCACGTTAAAAGTTAAAAAATGAGAGAGAAACAGTTTTTATAAGAGAGATTTGATCCGAGGAGGCGGTGACACAAGTTTCCTCCACATTGGTCAACTGCACACACTCAATTGCTATAGGCAGCTTTCTACCAGTAGAGGGCAGTCACTATGCTCATTTGAAAAACACCTGATGAACATCTGTATTCATTTGTTCTCGGATGGAGGAAGTGGTGATGAGCTGTAGTCACCAAAACTCACAGGTCGTTAAAGTTGAGTTGAACTTTGTAATGTCCGTTTTTCATGCAGGCTGTTTATTTCTCCTCAGGACATCTTCCTGGTGTTTGACAAGAACAAAACCAAGCGTCTGGAGTATCAGGAGGTTGCTCCAGCTCTGAAGGCTGCAGGTACGAGTGAGGAACCACAGCGACATTAATTAATCCATGATTCACGCACACGTTAAACCTCTCCGTGCTGTGTTCAGAGGTTCATGTGTTAAAACATGTCTGATAGATTCAGGTTTCATGTCTCTACATCTGTAATGTAACCAATAGGGGGAGTCAAACCACCTCTCTTCACCTCCTCCTCTGCCTTTTAACAACAAATATAGAGTGACATATAATACTGAGGTGTTAGAATTAGATAAAGAATCAGCTTCCAACCTGATTTACTTCATGTTTCCACACATTACAAATATTTTGACATCGTAAACGAAGTTTTTGTGTCACAGAAGATTAACTCTGAGATTTAGTTGTTTATCAAACAAACAGTCAGACATTGTTGAAGCTTCAACAAGTCGAATTATAATTTGTGTTGTTGTTTTTTTCCTTGGATGAAAACCAGTGTGTTCAGAGCCTGGATAGCTCAGTCGGTAGAGCATCAGACTTTTAATCTGAGGGTCCAGGGTTCAAGTCCCTGTTCAGGCGGCAGAAATTTTAAACTAGGAATCTGTTTGAGCTTCTGGACTCGAACGACATGAGTCTTTGAATGACAGAGAACATCTTGTGTGTTTCTGCTGAAGGGATCACGGTGGACGACCTGGTGATGCAGCTGGTTGGCCTGAGATACACTGAGCCCGACATGACCATCAGCTACCCTGGCTTCTTGTACCTGGTGATGAAACTGGAGAGCATGATACGTAAGAGAGGAGAGAGGCAGAAACACCAACGGCTCATTGTCTCAGGATTCAAACGAGCTGCAGAAATAATAACGCTGAAATCATTACAAATAATTCTCTCACACATCTCCACCACCACGTGTTTGAATTTACAATACGATGCAAAATGAGGAGAGGAAGTGAAAAGCGACAGAGGGGGGGAGGGGGAGGTAACAGAGGAGGCATGGGAAACAGACAGGAGGAGAAAACTGCAGACGACGCTTGATGCAGAAGGAGGAGATGGAAACAAGAATATCTGTGTAAGGTCTCTGTAGCTGACGATTATCGTCAGTCAGCAGAAACCGATGCCACGTGTCCCGACAGTAAACTCACACACAAGAAGAGTTGAACTGAAACGCTCGTCACAGATGAAATGTTGTTTTTTCCTCTTTCACAGATAAATTCCAAGCGTACGACGTGGCAGGAATGGGAAAGATAGCAGTCAGCTACAGACGGGTATGAACACAGATACATCTCCATCACCCCCGACTCCTGCTTCACCTTTTTTATTAAAACTTACAGAACTGAAAATAAACTACTCCATGTTCTCTCTCTGGTTCCAGTGGCTCCACATGACCATGTACAACTGACCTGCTCCACTCACACACTCACCAGGATTCCCTCAGCTCTTTATTCATTTTCTTTTCACTGCTTGATCTCAACGTGTGATTTCTGTTTTATTTGTCTGTGTGAACGATGTCAAGTGTAGTTCAGTGACCGAAGCATGAAGCGGACAAAGATTGTGACACTGTGCCTTTAGTTCCTCCTCCTGCACGATGTCATTGTATATCCACGGAAACACCCGGGGTCAAAGGGCAAACACGGACGTGCTGCTGTGGTGTAAAGTGAAGTGTATGATTCACTTTTGAACGGAACAGAATGAAACTTGAAGATGTTGCTTCAGCCTGAATTTAGATTTGGAGTCAGATTGTTTTGTGGAAACAGTTTCGTTCATAAATGATATTTTACAAGATCTGGGACGGGTAAATCCAAATGATATAAACCCCAGTTCTTCTTCGAAATAATGGGGAACATTTGGAATAAATGTTCAAATGATCTTAATACAGTCTAATAAATAATGCAGTTTAAATTTTTACTACATGACTCTAAAGTAAAGTATAACTGCGAGCTAACGCTCGACAAAATCACAAGTGTTTGCTGTCCTGGCTCTTCGATGGTGGAACGAGCTCCCCATTGACACCAGGACAGCAGCAAGTCTTCATATCTTCTGCCGCAGACTAAAGACACATCTCTTCCGACTACCACTTATATGGTAGCACTTTGTAATTTGGCTTTTTTGGAGCAAAATGTACTTGGTTCTTGTTGTTCTGAATGCTTTGGAGGAAAGCGTCAGCTAAATGAAATGTAATGTAAAGTTGCATTAACTTTTTCAACACCTATCACCAAGGTGTGATAAATGTAGGAGGATTTTGGACGGACTCGGACACTCGGACTTGTGCTCTCTTTCTTAGAAGGAATGGATAAATAAGTTGCATTATTCTTGGATTCTAGAAGACGTTCTAGGTTAGGTTTGTGGGAATTGTTAGGTTTTTGTGTTTTTCTCATCCCTCCTCTGTGATAATGTTTTCTGAAATTAAAATGTATGTTTAACGAATGTTTCCTTCACAATAAAAACATTTGAAAAGAAGTCATTTGGAATTAGAGTCTGTGCAGTACGGCGATTGGGGGATTGGAGCAGCAAATTAAAAACTAAACACCATCCATGCGGTTCATGTTTATTTACAGCATGATACTGTTTTATAGTTTCTTTATTAATGTGAAGATCTGAAGTGGAAACAAATCTGATTTGAACTAAAGTGTCATGCTGTTTAATCCTTTAGCTCTCAGGTTCACTCAGATGTGTGAGAGATGATGGTTCCTCTTTGTGGCTGAAAATTCCAACTTGTTAAAACTTCTATCGCCTGAACAGGGACTTGAACCCTGGACCCTCAGATTAAAAGTCTGATGCTCTACCGACTGAGCTATCCAGGCTCTGAACAGACAAAAATCCTTATAAAAAAAAAAAGAAAAAGTATATTTACAGTATGTGCACCAGAAGAGGACGTCCTGTCTCTGACCTTGTTTAATAAAGATTAGGATTATTATAATTATAAGGTTTTATTCTGATCTAGGAAAACACTTCTCCTGTTGAAAGCATAACTTCATTCCTTTTGATTACACTTTGATTTGTGTTCCATGGAGCATCAGTTTCTAATTAACCTTTGAAAACTGTAGGAATTTATTTCTCTTAATTCTTTCTTCTATTTTAGCCAAGCAACATTAATCGACTGTAGCACATGGTCGGAATATAACTGTCTGCCTCAAGCATCTGAACTTGAATTAATCACCTGAACAGGGACTTGAACCCTGGACCCTCAGAATAAAAGACTAAATATTGATAGTGATGAAGTTTTCAAGAGAAGGTCAGTGGTCCTTCGTCAATGTTAATACTCACGTGATTTAAAATGAACCGTCTGTTCATGTGAATGTTGCTTCAGTCCTGTAACGAGACCTTAACTCATTTCCATCATGTTGCCTGTTCTGTGGTTTAACATTTTAAATCTGTGCAGACGACTGATGAAGAACTTGGTCGTAGCGTCTCTGTGCAGTTTTTCACTGGGGTCGGTCTCGACAGTGACCCCCCGACCACAGTGGATATTTTCAGAAATGATCCTCTGCTCTTTGCTAAAGTCTGGTATGTGTAAATATCCGTCTTCCAGCATCGTTCTTTACACTGAGAACAGCCTGAGATACACATACCAGAGGGTGTGCGTGTGTGTGTGTGTGTTTACACACTGAGGTTGAAACCATTGGAGTGAGGATGTCATGGGAAAGTAAAGACATTGAAGTCAGGCCTCACTTTCGGACACAACTGTAAAGTGCTGGTTCAGGGTTTAAACTTAGCTTCAGGTCAGGATAAGGAGAGTGGGGAGTGTGTTTCTGTCACAAGTAAAGTTTGGAGACAATCAGGGACGCTGTCTTATCTAACTGGATGAAAGACAGAAGGAAAAGGATGAGGTGATCAGCGCTGTGTGTTGGGTCCTGGTGTTAATCGGGAACCTAAGTCTAGATGCTCTTGTAAAAACTGGACAATGAGAATGTGTTTCTCTGCTGTTTGTGTGTGTCCCTCCTTAAACAGATAGAAAAACAGTCCATTCATAAGAACTCTTGTTCCTGCTAATGAGCCCGGACCAGGCTACAATTATGACCCGGGCCTGTGGTGACCAATCACAGCGTGGCGAGCAGCCGAGCCGCACTGTATGGCATCACATGACAGTATCAGAGCTGGAGTGTATATGCTGCTCTGGGCTGTGGTGACGCTAATCGACCAGGACAGCCTGAGCATGACCTACTTCTGGAGGTGGCTCCTGCAGACGGGACGGCCACCCTCCAAACCAGGAGTAATGGATGCTGCTGCAGCTCAGGCTCTTTATGACGTCAGTGGCTCTAAAACATTTGGATCATGACCCACTGATGTTCCCAGCTGCACACAAATATTCTAACAAAGACTCATTTTACCTTCTCAGGTCACTTCATATATTTTTGATCATCAACACTGGACATTATTCAATATTTTACAAGGAAAATGTTTTGAAAAGTGAAATTGACCCATTGATTGTGAATCTGCTGTTCCACAAACATAGACTTCAGGTCAAGACCCTCAGAACCACAGACAGAAAAAAGACACTTGTTAACTAATTAAACAAAGTTAACAACTTGTACAAACACAATTGAATTGATCTGTGGGTTAAAATTAAAGTCTTTGTTCAAGTTGATATTTTCTTTTTGTCAGTGAAGTGAAGAAACTGTGGCTCTGTGAGGAAAATACATTTCATATTTAATTGATCGATTCAATTTCATTGTCTCAGCAGCTCCTGTCCAAATGTCTCATGAATATTAATGAGGTGTCTGAGCCCGAAGGACACAAGTGACCAGGTTTATAACAGGAAGCAGGTGAGGCCAACTTCAAAATAAAACACCAGAGCCGTGTGGGGCGGATTCACAGAAAATAAATCTGTTTACATAAGAGATCTCCAGTGGAGAGTTTAATCTTTATTCATAAATAAATCCACTGAGACATTTTAGAGAAGATGTTTGTATTTTATATTTCTATTTAGTTTTATTTATTCATTTTTCTACGATACAGTGTTTGATTGATCCGGACAGCAGTCGAGTTCATGGCAGCTCCATCATTTGTGAATGAATTGTTCATTTATGTTTCCCTGTGTATTGTTTACTGTTATTTTACTCTTTCTTCTTTTTATTCTTCATGTATATTTTATAGTTTAAAAATAAATAAACAAATCAAATCAGACGTGAACCGACCAACAGCCGCAATACAACAAGAAAATAAAAGAGCTGTTCAGTTGCGTAACAACGCAGGTCATTTATTCGTATGAGCTTTGCTTTCTTGTCTCGTCCGATGGTTAATATAAAAGATTTTGGAGCACTGACTCTATAAATGAAAATGTCTCTTCTAATCTTAACATTTGCTTTTACTTTAATCATTCATGTGTTCATTTATCTCCTTGGGTGTCAGGAAAGGCAAAGTGAATAAATGGCCATTGTTATTGAGGGTAATTATAATGATGATTATGATTACAATGATTAAATAATACACAACAGTAATGCGATGTAAAATTATAGATTATGATTATCATTGACATTGTTATGATAGATAAACACATGAAGATTGTAAAGGGGTGGGGGGGGGGGGTTATGGTTGGATGACTGATTTGATAGAAGTAGAGAAGAACTTTATTTGTGTCGCGTGGAGTCAGTGCTGTTATTTTGAAGGGTCGAGCCGGAACCTTGTGTGCTCGCTGCCCGCAGCTTGTGGTTCCGGCCGGTTCCTCCCAGCAGCCGCACCGAGCAGCTCTTGTCCTCCCGGCAGCGGCGGCAGCAGCAGCGGGGAATCTCTCACTCTCACACCGGCTCTTCATCACCCAGAGACGCGCTCTCACGGCTGGAAGCGGCGACCGAACACGGACTCCTCGCCCGGTCGCGTATCCCTCCCCATCCCGCCTCTCTCTCTGTGGGACGCCGTTGCGGTTTTTCCCCCCCATTTTTATTTTTTGGTTTCCTCCCACCGCCTCTGACAGAGAGTCCGCCGCGCACTCAGGTTCGTCGGGCTGACATGGTAGATTACCACGCTGCTAATAACCAGGCTTCGACTGGCGGTGTGCAGACCTACATGGAGCAAGAGAACGACTGGGACCGGGACCTTCTGCTGGACCCGGCCTGGGAGAAGCAGCAGAGAAAGGTAAGGAGACACGCCGAGGAGTCGGGGCCCAGCTGGGGCCGAGTGTAGCCGGGCTGAGAGGAGGCGGTGGCGGCGGGCAGAAAGAAAATGGCTGGGACGGGGAGTGGAGGTCAGAGGACGGGGCCTGCAGCTGCACCAGTGCCCCACTTTCTACCACCCATACCCCCCCCCAGCCGCAGCCTGTCCCCCCTCTCTGGATCTTTCTCTCATTCCTCTCTCCCCATGAAAACTGACGGGCTGTGTCTGCTGCCCTTTCTCTGTTAAAGGTGATTCTTTTCCCGGTGCTTCCCCTCCTCCTCCTCCTCCTCCTGAGCGGAAACACGGCGCCACATTGTTGTAAAAAAAGAAAACCTGAATTGTGATCGTGCAGATTTGATCCAGTGTTTTGTGTGGAGGCTTTAGGGCGTTATCGTGCTCCCTGTCCCGCTTGTGTCTGCCTGGCTGCTGGCTGAGGGCCGATACGACTCACCGAGGCTGGGCTGAAGAATCGAACCGATACCTCGGTGTTCCAGGCCGACATACCGATAATTTAACCTTGAAGCAGCCGCGGTTCATCGTCTGTTTATTGGAAAGGTTCAAATTGTCAGGATGGAAAATCACTGGGGAAACATTGTCATCGAAATTCACGGTCCGCTTGTGGAATTCCTGACATGGTTCGCAACTTTTTCAAGCCTCAGAGTATTTGAAGCATGGCAGCTATTTTAAAAGCATTTGAAAAATCCTGTCAGCGTAACCTCTGTACAGATGACTCCTCCCGTGACAGAACCCTCCAACCGGTTCTGTTCAGGGTTGTTGGAACGTCGGTGTTGCGGCCGGGTTCCACCAGTTTTCAGTGGAACCACTTTAATCAAAGATTTGTCCGTAACAACAGAAGAAAACTCGTTGTGCGATAGTGGATCTCACTTGATTCCCTGGGAGGGTTGGTGATCTGGGCCGAGATACTGTATTCTGTATCAGACAGTTTCTGACAGACAGTTTCTGACATGTCTCCTTCAATGTTTCCTCCTTCCGCTTGTTTCCACCAGGGAAACATGACACACCCACTGATACCATCATGGTTCTAACATGAAAACCTGAAGCAACTTCTCAGGTTCAGAACCGATTTAAAACCATGTTGGTCCGAAGGACTAACAGCTGCGTTGAGCAGCTACGTATGTAGACTTTATATCTGATATATCCAAGTTTCTGTAGACACACTCGTTCCACTGCACATAACTTAACGCCCACTTGCTGCGCTGCACATTTTAACCTGCTTCAGCAATTTTCAGTTTTAAATTCCAAACCACCACCGCAACATGTTGTGCACCAAGCTCTGCAGTTTTCTGTGTATTTGGCCTAATGCTACCTCAATCATCTCCTCTGCTCCTCTCATAATAATTGCACCTCCTCTCCCTCATCCTCATCAACTCTCCATCCAACGTCATCCTCCACTTTTCTGCCCAACATGTTTTTTTTGTAATAGAAGCCGCCTTGCCTGAGATTTGATGCCAATGGGTGTTGCACCACTTTGCTCCCTGTGCACAGTTTTCCCCCCAAGGATGACAATAAAAGTCCTCCACTTTAATTTACCAGATGAAGGTGACCTAGTTTTGACCCATAGACTCATTCAAAACGCCCTTGTATGTTACAAATAGGAAATAGATGAAGCGATGATGTGATATTTACGTCACATGACTACATGGATGAGTCTTAAAACAGTAAATCACTCTTACGTCTGTTTTTAATGCTCTAAATTCTCGTAAGGGGCGTGGAGGCAGTATAACGAAGGGTAGTTTGAAGAACCATTACTTGACAGTGTGGAATGATTGAGAGGGTGTGTTTTTATGTGTGTGCGTGTGCTTACCAGGCTACGCACCCTAGCTTGTTCACTCACTCGTTAGATGACTGGCATACTTTCTAGTGGTGGGACAGCATGCCAACATTGAATTGTGCATTTTTATAAGGCCACTCAGCATTTTCTCTGTCAACGTCAAACATTCTTACAGCTGAATAATGTCAAACCTGGTGAGTCCACTCCTCCCTCTGATGCCAGTTACTCCACTGTTCGTCATATTTGTCCATGGATCGCAGGGGACAAAGTTTTACTAAATAGGAGAGCATATCCTAACAATCATTAACAGAGTGAGGATTGTTGTGCAAACCTGGGCTGAGGTCCACTCCCCCACATTCCCACATCTCCCCTCATCAGTGGCTGCTGATAGGTGTTTAGTTGACTGGGGAGAGAACAAGCTGGGGACGTGTCCCTCTGCCAAGCTTGAGCTGTGCCGGTGAGGTGGGGGGGGGGGGCAAGGGCAAATTCCTGCGGTGTATTCACGCTCACTGTGCCAGTTATTGCGCAAAAGGGGAGCGAACGCCTCCCGCAGAAATATCAAGAGAGAAGTGGATATAATGAGTGTGGGAATGGGTTTGTCGTTGTGTGAGAGGGGCGAGTCTGTACAGTCACAAAACGGGAGCAGTTTGTCGGTGGCAGGTTTTTCCATCATGCTGACCTCTGCACATTCACCATGTTGAGTAATACAAGAGGGGAAAATGGCAATCCTCATATATTTTTTTGCATTGTTGCCTTTTTGTTTTCCACAGTGAGAGAGAGAGAGAAGGGGGGGGGGGACTGAGGAAAGTAGGCAGAAAGACGTCATGTGTGTCAAAGGCCTCAGTTCACTTTCTAACTCGGAACACTAGAGTTACATAGTTCACGTGTTATCTAACGGAGCCACAAGGACCATGAAAGATTTGAACTCTATCTGTTTGTGTAACAAAGTGATCCGTGTGGACAGGCCTCATCTCTAACTTCTTAACAAACAAAGAAAAATGCAGGCTTACATCCATACTACCACATTTTCAAACTAAAACGATCCCTGTCCATACAAGTGGTTTGGCTACGTATCGGTTTTAATCCCCATCCATACGAACAAGCCTGAAAACGCAAATCACATGACCACTCGAGTACAGTGGTTTGGATGCATTTGCAAACAGAAATGTTTTGTGGACGGGTCCTGAGAATGACAGTTCCTAATAGAACACGGCTGGCAGCAGTCACTCTGCACAAGATGACCTTGTTTTAGGAGTCTCTTGTCGTTTGGATGTTTCCGCACCGTTCAGTTGTCCAGTGTGAGTTTGTGTTTCTCTGGCAGAGTTTGTCCTTGTGGTTTGTTTCCATTTGTCCATTTTAAGCAACATTTCTCAACACCCCAGCTGGACTGAGCCAAGAAGAGTCCAGTTAACGGCAGTTTGTTACAAACGAAGCCTCCCCCCCCCGACAAACATGTTATTAAGTCTCTGTGCTCAGGGATCCACCGCAGGTTCCAACATGTCACAGTACGCAGTGCCGCAATCAGAGGTTTTATTTTACCTCCTGCTTCTCAGCGACAGTTTGGCTGCACATATATCTCATGTCATGATTTAGGGTGAAAGTGGAGTGAGGTGGGTGGATGAGCTAACAAGGAAAGCAGTAAAGTGCATGAGCCAAAGGGGCTGGAACAGTCTGCTGCATTTGTCAAGGTGATGCATTTTTCAAAATTACCAGCACTTGTTCTGCTGTTCCCCTCTGATGCAGTGGTGCTGTGTTAATTCACAAAAAGATCAAACTCTGTTGAGTGGCCTCAGTTAAGCATGCACATCAGTTCTGGTGTTTGCCGAAAACCAAAAGACTGAGAGAAGTTCAATTGTGGATTCATGTCAGAGTTAATCGTCTCATTCTCTGCTCTTAGATTGTATCAGGAGTGTCTGGCACTAATTGCGTAACATTTTTTTCATAAACAGTGTCACAATCAGTTGTGGTTACTGAGTGTTGTTTTAAATGTCCTCATTTTTCCTATTGCAGCCAGTGTCTCATTCTGTTTGCACTTCAGTGACTGAAGCTGGACTGTGGCACTGACTCACAGCTCAACAGAATGCTGGAAATATGGGAGGGTGAATGAGACAATTTGACGTAGCTTGTGATAATATTTCTCTGTTTTGAATGTTGAATGACCTGTTAGATAGTCACTAAGTTCCACCCATACTTTAAACTTCACTAAACCATAGACTTTTCCTTCCACTACCCAGAAAAGAAGTAATAATATCTCAGATACCAACGCTGTCATCTTCTGTTTTTGGCGTCATTTTTGATTGTCCTGATGTTAGAGTGGAACCACGGTATCAAGGTCCCAATTCAGAGTCAGCTTTCAACTGTCAATCATGACAGTTCACTTTCAGTAGCCGTCATGTCCTCATCGTTATGCACACCGTATGCATTAAACACGCCTACATTTGTCACTAATGAAGTAACTTCTCTTTGTAGCCTGAGTAAACATGTTTTTCGATGTCTCAAAATAAGCATCAGGAATTTGTTTGTTTTCAGCCTCCTCTTACTCCACCAGTGCCCAAGGTGGGCAGCTGGACACAATGTTAGTTTGTTCTTTTGGCGCCCACTTTCACATGCTTTCTGTGTGACTGGCTGGCAGGCAGGCGGAGCCGGTTCAGATGGCCTGGGTTGGCTCAGGACGAGCTGCGAGTGACATTTTGCCAGGACAAATGGACCAAAGAATACATCCTGTAGTCATTACTACATTGGCAAAGATCTGGCTGCTTAACAAGCTGCCGTGTCACTTTTTTTCCGATCCCAGGCTACTTCCCTGTTCCAAAACGTTTAAAAACCTGAAGGGAGCTGAAAATGTTTGAGGAAGGTTGAGTAAATTGGCTGTTTGCTCAACAACAATGGACAATGGTCCATTTGTAGAGAAACACAGAAAGAAACAAACGCTTTGATTGAGTGTCTGTCTTTTCATGCACGTGGCTGTGTAGCTGGACCAACCTGACTGAGATGTGGCGAACAAAAGGACATTACTCTTGAATGAGGGCAGTTGTAATTAAAGTAATCACAACACACACGTTTGCATGTGTTGCAGCCTCTTGATGGACATCAAGTTTATTTAGCTTGGATCTACTCCACAGGATTAACATCTTCACTAAAAGCCTGAGTGCTGTTTTTGTTCCATCAGATCTTTTGGTTTCATGCTATT